CTGCTGGGTGAGGGTTGCAGCCTTAGGTCCCTGGCCTGGTGCCAGGGTGGGGGGCATGGCCTGAAGTCCCCCATCAAGCCCCTCCAGGGCGAAGGACATGGCCTGAGGTTCCCTGGCCTGGCACCAGGGCAGGGGGCACAGCCAAGTTTCTCCGGCCCAGCACCAGGGCGGGGGGGCGCACCTTGAGGTCCCCTGTCAAGCCCTGCCAGGTGGGGGGGCACAGCCTCAGGTCCCCCGGCCTGGTGCTGGGGTGGGGGGCATGGCCTCAGGTCCCCTGACCCAGTGCCAGGGGTGGGGGGCGCGGCCTGAGGTCCCCCGGCCTGGCACCAGGGCAGGGGGAGCAGCCTGAGGTCCCCCGGCCCAGCACCAGGGTGGGGGGCGCACCTTGAGGTCCCCTGTTAAGCCCCGCCAGGGTGGGGAACACGGCCTCAGGTCCCCTGGCCTGGTGCCAGGGCAGGGGTTGTGGCCTGAGGTCCCCCGTCAAGCCCTGCCGAGTGGGGGGCTTGGCCTGAGGTCCCCCGGCCTGGCGCCGGGGCAGGGGGCATGGCCTGAGGTCCCCTGTCAAGCCTCATGGGGCAAGGGGGGTGTGCAGCCTCAGGTCCCTGCTGATTGCTCCTTAAGGCTTATTATGGGAACTCGACCTCAGCTGTAGGTGCAGCCATCTTTGTGGCAGAGTGACAGTCAATTTGCATATTCCCTCTTTATTATATAGGATACTTTACCAAACTAAAACTAAATTCCTTTTCTTTTATAGGTGCAGGAGACATTGTTGCCATCATGATTGGCAATCTGAAAGGCACAAAAATTCTACAATCAATTCAAAGAGGCATACAAGTAACAATGGTCATCGAAGTAGGGAAAAAACATGGCCCTTGGGTGAATCACTATTCAATTTTCCTTGTTTCTGTGTCCTTTTTTATTATTACGGCAGCAACTGTGGGCTATTTTATCTTTTATTCTGCTAGAAGATTACGGAATGCAAGAGCTCAAAACAGAAAGCAGGTTTGTAATGGTCCTTTCTTCCAATTTAAAAATATTTTACTGTTTTAATTGCAATTTCAATGTCATGCATTTTAATACATTTCACTTGCCAGACAATGATACATGCATGTGTTTTATGCACCGTGTAGTTTTTAAAAGTATATCAGCTTTCATCATCTCAAATCTTTTAATTTCTCTAAATTGTCTATGGCCTGAATCCTGCCTAAGTCTTCTAACACCTTATTATGGAGTACAGCCAGGATTTTAATTATATATGGGTATAAATACATATGTTCTTTTAAATATTTCTTCTAAATTACAGGACATTTTATACTCAGTATAGAAAATTTAGAAATTAGAAAGTATGAGGGAAAAAATCTTCATTAAACCCCAAATAACAAAAAACTAGTCACCACACAAAGGAAACCACTGTTGCTCTGGCTAGTTTGGCTCAGTGGATAGAGCGTCGGCCTGCGGACTGAAGGGTCCCAGGTTCGATTCTGGTCAAGGCCACATGCCCGGGTTGTGAGCTCAATCCCCAGTAGGGGGTGAACTTAATCCCCAGTAGGGAGTGTGCAGGAAGCAGCCAATCAATGATTCTCTCTCATCATTGATGTTTCTCTCTCTCTCTCCCTCTCCTTTCCTCTCTGAAACCAATAAAAATATATATATTTTAAAAGTAACCATTGTTATTTTACATGTATGTGTGTGCTTGAGCATGCATGTATTTGCATGTGGGGCCAGGGCTGGAAAAAGAGACTAGGCTGAATGTCATGAGAAGGCAAGTTTAAAGATATAATTGTGCATGATATAGTGCTAAGCTCTAGTCACAGTCACATATTCATAATTTCCACCATATTTTAACAACTGGCATATAACAAGTACAAATAATATAAATAATAGAGGAAAAATACTAAAGCATCATTGAACATAGAAGTACCCACAGTTGTGTGATATTGATCCTACTACCTTTATACTGTCTGTTATTCCCCTGATCTCCTCACTTCTCTCCTTACCCAGCTTAACTTTCATGGTCACTCCCATGCATATGTCTTCAGTTCCCTTGGCCCTTCTCCTTGTTATACTTGCTGTCAAAATCCAACCCTGGTCAAATCATATTCCCCACCTACCCTATACCTGCACTTTGCATAGCTGAACTAACAGGAAAACATTGACATATATACAGACTGACCATAAACTCAGTGATCCCTTAATGCTGCCCAACAATCATACTATATTTTCTTAGGCGTTTCTTCTTTCCTAGGTGACTAATCATACATGTTCTGTTCTCCTTAAACTTCCAACACCTCCTCCAACTTTACTCTCAACTTGTATTTTGGATGTTATTCCACTGAAAAAATTGAAGTAATCAAAAGAGTACTTCCACAAGTTCTTCCACACCTACCCATCGATCTGCTTCTGTGTCTATCCTATGTCTTCTGCCTTGGCTTCTATTAATGTGCATGCACAAACATGCTATTATTGCTTCCATTTTCAAAAGAACTTTTCTTGACTTCAAGCCAGAAATCTTGGAGTTATTCTTTTTCCTTTTTTTTCTCTCACTTCCCATATAACCTCCGTAAGCAAATACTATTGGTTCTACTTCATTATATATCCAGAATCTGATTACTTCTTACCAACGCCACTGCCTCCACCCTGTTCCAAGCCACCATCATTTCTTACCTCCTCTGAATCTCAAGTATTTTCACCATAGCAACAGAGTAATATGCTATGTCTCCAGAATGCTCAGTAGAGATTTAATACTTTCAGCTGATCATATATTAGAGACAAGAATACATTTTTATGTGAACTGAGAAATTCCTCCAAAGGCCATGAAGTTTTGGCCACTTCATGCACTTTTTATCCAATAAGCAAAGATTAACCCAATTTATTTGGGAGTAAGGGAGCAGTGAGGGTTTCTGTATGGCAAGAAAGTTCACTGAATTTTAGAACAAATTAGAATTGAAATCTTATTATAAAACCTTCATAATGATTAGACACCAGTATATGTTAATGAGTGATGATTATTTCAATATTTAAAATTAATTGACTTCTGTCCTTCTCAAAGAAGCAGCTATCACATTGATGGCAGGTTCAGCATGTTACTAGCTATAGTCAAAAGGATGTTTCAAATTCCTGTGCCAGACCATTCAATAATTTCACACTGTGTTAACATTTGACTTTTGTATATTGAGCTGTTTTTATCTCTAAGGTTGGAAAGAAATATGTGTCATATATGAGTAACTACCCAAAGGTTATAGTTACAATGATGAGTAGTTGGTTTGCTTATGTTTGTGGTGTAGTCTCTATTTCTATATCCTAAGTGCAATAAAAACTTTATTAACATGGCATTAAACTTTGTCAGCAAGTAATGAAGTTTATAAAGAACTGTCTGGTGTTCCACAAGTTTCATTGGATATTTAACTCTGGTCTCGTTGTTCATTCAAGTAATTTTTATAGTATATTTTATGAACATTAACTTTTGTATAAATGATAAAGAATAGCATTAAAACTTCTCACCTTTTAGAGAAGGCTTTTGAGAGGGCCTCTGTCACTACTTAGCAGGCTATATCTGTTTATCCCTTGGTGACTAAAGGATTAAATATGTGACTAATAATCCCTTTTGCTTATAAATTATTGAGAGTGCTAGAATGTCATTGACCTGTTATTTAATTTTTGTGACTTCCTATTTTTATTTTTTAAAAGTAAGAATTTGCCCTAGCAAGGTGGCTAAGTTTGTTGGAGCATCATCCCATATACCAAAAAGGTTGCAGGTTCAATTCTGAGTCAGGGCACATACCTAGATTGTGGGTTCTATCCCCTATCCAGGCACATATAGGAGGCAACTGCTCAATGTTTCTCTCTATCTCTCTTTCTCTCACTCTCTGCCTTCCTCTTTCTCTAAAATCAATAAAAAAGACATATCCTCAGGTGAGGATTTAAAAAAAGGTAGAGAGCTTGATGCATATGATGGCTATAACTATTACTAAATGTTTAACAGCATTATCCCCATTTTATGAGTAGAAATGGTAATGAGTTACAGAAACTTACCCTCATTATAAAATTAGGAATTCATTAAAATATTCAGGAATTTCTTCCCTATGAACAATTATGATGCATAGTGTTTAATGTAAGGCAAACTGATAAATGTACAGTATAACCATAAATTTTGATGACCAGAATACCCAAATATAATGGGCAGCACACAGTACCTGAATGCCTGACATATCATAGTATGATGTGTACGAACACATATCATCCCTTTTTTGTGGGTGGAAAGATTTTAAACAAGATGAAAAGTATCAGTGGGTTATGAATGAAAATAACATACTAGGCATTACATATTGGATGTGTGTCTCCACTAGGAACAATCCAAACCTGAAACAAGGAAGATTATGGAAAACATGGCATGGTCAGACTAAACTGAATTTTGGAGTAACCACTATACTTTTGACTATGGCATGGGACACCCAGAATTTGGTGATACAATGCATGTATCCTAACCATAACCAAGCAATTAATACTCAATGACAACAATGCATGTGTTGGATTTTACATTGGCCAGTGAAACAAAAGTGAGTTCTACATGAAATAGAAGCTGGCCTAGATACAATGGGACAAGCTGAATTTACTTTTAATGAAGAGTGACTTTCAAAAGAAAATAGTTTACTCTCTAAAAGAGTTTCCTCTCTAAAATTAGACAGATTAGAAGAAATCATCTTCCAAGAGGATAGAAAATAATGAGAATCTGCTTGGAACAACGACAAAGTTTAATAATCTAGTCACACAGGATAATGCTAGAGAATGCTAGCTCTCAAGGCTGGGAAAGAGCATATATTCTGACACAACAGGGTCTGTTAACTATTTTACTGCAAATGGAGGCCCAAGTAGCCCTGTGGTAATGGCCTTCCATTTTTAGCTTTGGAAGCATAGAGAAAGTATCTTTGAGACACATGCAGATCTCCAAATTTATGGAAATTTCCTGGGTGAAATTGTAACTTACAGTGCTGATCTCTGACTGATCTTGACCAAAGGGTGGACCAAAGTAAAACTAGCATTTTGAAATAGGAAAAAAAAACTGAATGATATTCATGTATTCCCCAGGGGAAGGAGATGGTGTTGTGCACAACCATCAGTGTGAACTTATAAATATATAATAATATGAGTTGAGACATATGATTGACTTTGTCTTCACCTAACCTGAAACCTAAAAATAATGGAAACATTGCCACTGGTGGTAACATTTGTACATAATAATATCTGGTATGTGAGCAAAGGAAAATTCTTCTAGGAAGTTTCAATAAACAATCTGTGATATATCTTTATTTATTTTATAACCAAACTGTGTCGTAACCATATTATAATATGGCATGACACTAATATTATTGGTAAGATTCAACTACCTTATATAAATAAATCATATGATGATCAAATTACTGGGGAATTAAAACCTCCCTAGGATGTGATAATAATGGAGAGTAATTGACCTGAGGAAGAAATAGATTTAGTTCATTACTATATTAAATAGCTGTATACAGTTTATCACAAAGTTCAAGTGGTCATAGATCAAGGGAAAAAACAGATGTTAAATTAGTACATCAGTATAAATATATGTGCAATGGTCTTATAGAATGGAAAAAGTGTTTCTTTGGAACTATTTTCTCCCTTTGTTTGCTTCTAAAGTATTACATATGCTTATCTTATTCTTACTGTATCTTTTATATAAACGCTGTACTAACTGTAAAAGCCCAAATAACTATGACTATTGTGTTGTTTAAAACACCTTGACCAAGAACAAAGGGATGGATTGTGAGGAGAGATAAAACGGTAGATCTAGTTGCTTACTCCTTGCAAATTGCCAAGGAATGGATGATTGGCCCTTGGCCAACCTCAGAAATGTGGCTCTCAGTGTTCATTATGATGGTGATGGGTGGTTTTTATAGACACCTAGAGCAATGGACCATGTTGTACCAGCTTGTCAAGGTGACTTGACACAACAATCAAGATTGATGATATGCATT